TTCAAATTTGGTACATACATTAAACATAATAGGACCTTGATGCACGTCATTTTTTTTTCGGATCAAGTTCGAAATAGCCGACTGGCGGCCATTTTGTTTTAAAGAATTCAGTTCTGGATCCGTATCCGAGACATGTCTGGATTGATCAAGTTCAAACTTCACACACACAAGGTACATCATGTCACAAATATGTATGTGCATTTGTTTCATGATCTCATTAACGATAGCCAAATGGGGGCCGCTTTAAGGCCGAAAATGCATTGAAATCGCACATTTTCACCATTCCGGACCCGTATCTCAGTTATGCATGGATGGATTTTGTTCAAATTTGGTACATACATTAAACATAATAGGACCTTGATGCACGTCTTTTTTTTTTCGGATCAAGTTCGAAATGGCCGACTGGCGGCCATTTTGTTAAAGAATTCAGTTCTGGATCCGTATCCAAGACATGTCTGGATTGATCAAGTTCAAACTTCACACACACATGGTACATCATGTCACAAATAGATATGTGCATTTGTTTCATGATCTGCTTAACAATAGCGGAATGATGGCCATTTTAAGGCCGAAAATGCATCAAAATCACATATTTTCACAATTCCAGAACCGGATCTCAGTCATGCATGGATGGATTTTGTTCAGATTTAGCACAATGTGTTGTACATATGCAGGTGCATTTCGGTCATGATCTGCTTTGAATGTATATGTCACTCAAATATGAACGGAACGGGGACATGTCATTGACAATGACTTGTAACTATGTTGTTTTAATTTAATTGCAGCAAATGACGAAAACATTCAAGAAAACAATTCTTCAGAGTTTTAATGCATCAAAGGAAAATTACTTCAACAAAAATAATTTTTCAAAGACTTTCCTTCATCAAATCAATTTGGACCCTCAAACATGGAACCGAACAACTCAGAACCAATCGTTTTTATGTACAACAGCAGAAATAAATTTGTCATCAGCCAAGACATCAAGGTAAGAGCAATTTAATTTATACCATGATATCTATATCATGGTGTATATTTTGATGAAATTATGTTTGTAACATGATAGATCTCAAATCAATTATTTTCACATGCGATGTGATTTACAGGGCTACATAATGGGGCAACATGATGAGCATGTATTAGGTAATGCGCAGTCTGTTTGCACTGGTATGATTTAACGGGGGTAATCATATTTCCGAAACTGGTTTTTCACAGTCTCATTCGCCACAGTGAGTTCAGTTTGGCTCATCTAATTCATCGAGTTGGGACATTCTGAAATACCAACAAAACTTCTTCAGATGTTACAAAATTCACGATTGTACATGTATTTAATAAAGTTTTGGGGTTAGGTAATATATGCCAATGATGTCACTGTCACTGTCAAAAGATACTATATGATACCTGTGTCTCTGTTTTATGGTGTGTTCTCCGACATGTGTTTCCAGATTTTATCTTTACAACACTACTGGAAAAGATGGAGTGACGCAAGGTGACTATGTACATATTGTCATTGAAACACGTAACGCACGTGACAAAAGAAGAAATGTGGGCGGTGACTTCTTCTTCGGAGTAATGAAAAACACTAAATTGAAGAAAAGTACAAGTGGCAGAGTAATTGATTATAACAATGGTACATACAGTGTATATTTTTATGCAAGTTGGCATGGGAGTGCTGAAATACTGATTACATTGTGGTATACCAAGGAAGCCATACAATGGATTGATACAATGTATAAACCACGAGAAAGGCATGTAGAATGGGATGGAATTTTCACACATGCTAATAAAACAGAACATAGTCGTTGTTATGTTGTCAGGAATGAAATCTATTTGAATAAGTGTGAGTACCGGAACAAGAATGCATTGGGAGACACTGTGTTTGCGTGTGACAAACCACCAACTCTACCATGCGAGTCATTGGAACAAGCACGTGCAAATGGCGAAAGTGTGGAAAACAGTATAAAAACTCGTTTACGACCTGACCAGGAAATATTATTCAAAAGGTATGTAGGGAGGGGTGAACAGTGATATTTTCTACCATTTTTTGTTCTTTGATTTGTTAATATTTTGCCATGGGTGTGATTCTGATTTGACAAGTTGTTTATTTGTACTTTCATATTTTGCCAGCCCGTATCTGACGTCAGCCGTTGGAAGTCCACTCACCATCATGATTAAAGGTAAATTGCGTTTCTACTACTAATGTCAACCACACGTGGTTAAACTCAATATCTGAAACCATAACTCTGCATTAATTCTTATCTAAACACCATTCCAAAAACAATTTAAAGTCGTCACCTGTGCATGTGTCAGATGGCCATAGCGTGTCATTGTTTACAAACAAGCGTCTACCCATGAGCCTTTGCATTTTAGCGTGTGTTGTTATCGTTGCTTGGGACTCAATTCCCATGCATGCGCAGGTGACGACCCTCTCGCTTTAAGCGAAACACATAAAGTGTGTGTAAATAATGCTGTTTTTGCCTAAAACAAAATGTGATATTATATAGATATTCTGCTCTCACTTTCTCACCAATTTCATTTTGAGGGTTTTATCTGCTAGAAAAACCTGGCATCCTATCTAAGCCAGTGTGTGTGTACTGTAGAATACTTTATTTTCACTTGGAATTTATTTTCGCTATTTTCGCTGAAGGGATGTTTCCGTGAAAATAAAATCCAGTGAATATACTTTTTTTCCTATATTTCACATTAAACTCATCAAAAATCAGTGAAAATAAATTCCACACAAAACGCCCAAAAAGCCTTTTCAGCGAAAATTAATTCCAGTGAAAATAAAGTATTCCACAGTATATATATACTGGTATATACATGCAGATTAGTAGAAGTTTAATAAAAAGATTCCCGAATTTAAGTCACAAATGTACCCTGGGTGTATATTGAGGGGGGCAAGGGTTATTTTAGTTCAAGGTAATTGCAATACTTTTTGTTCGTACAACGTAAATTGAAAAAATGAATTCCGTAATTCTGTAATCACATGCTAGACGTACAACGTAATCAATCAAATATTTTGTTCATACACTGTAAAAATGTGTCATTTTTTCGGTACGTACAAGAATTTTCTAGGTTTTTTTTTTTTAATTTACCGTAAAATGTAAAATAACCTTTATTTCTCTGTAAACTGTAAACATTCAATTTTCACTGTAAACTGTAAAAACGTTTTTTTTCCTTGTAAATTGTAAAAAGCCCTTTTTATTTCAAGTAAAACTGTACCAGCTACCCCCTTGCCCCCCTCTATATTCTATGTGGTTGTTTAACCCTAGGTAGGATTTGACCATCTCTGGATCTACCTGGATTATTAACAAATAAATGCATTTCATTTCAAATAAACGTTATTGCCTTCCCCTTCTCTTCAATCAACAGATAACAGCAAACAACTGAAGAAAGATTTAGATGATCGTTTGTCTTGTACATCAGGTTTTCCTACATTGATGTCAACAGGATTTTGGGAGACTGAAAGTAGATGGATATCACTAGCATGTAAGACAAGTCACTGGACAGAAACCACTGCAGGTGAATGCCTGAGGGGTAAAACTGTATATCTATTGGGAGATTCAACAATGAGACAGTGGCATGAAAGCATGACAGACCTCATGGATGTGAACAATATTTCTCGTTCAAATCTACGCCATTTCTGGAGAGGCACTGAATATAATATTTCACTAGTATTTAATTTTCATCCCATTATGATTGGAAGTAAGTATAATTCGTTTTGGAAACAAAAATTTTCAGCTGATGTCATAGATGAAATAGAAGATTGTAATGCGGCAATAGTTTTGAGTCTAACGTATCACTTTTGTACATGGACTAAAGAGTCATACATTGAAAGACTGAATCATGTGAGAAGAGCTATTATACGTCTACAAGCTCGATGTCCAGACACTGTCGTAATGATAAAAAGTTCACACCCAAGAGATCACAATAATTGGAAGGGACACATCCATAGCAGTGACTGGACTTTATTTGATATGAACAGAATATTGAGTGAAATATTCTCAGATATTGGTGTAAAATATATAGACATATGGGACATGTCTCTTTCACATTTCCACAAAAATAACGTTCACATGCCATTGGAAACTGTTATTCGTCAGCAAATTGATTTGATGTTATCGTTTGTGTGTCCAGCCCATATTTCATCCAAATAGTTGTTTTTATGTAATTAATACTGTAAAATATATAGGCATATGGGACA